GTCAGAAGATAACTGGATATTATTTTTTTGATCGGGTACCATCACTACAAAAAATATCAGTTAACCTTAGTTTAATGCAATTAGACATAACCCAATTATTTATTTATTTTGTTTTTTCTTTACAAATGTTTTGTATATCCTTTAAAACTTTTTTCACGCGATCAAGACCGTCTGAATAATTACCATATATTGCAATTAAGGACGATATTTCTTTTATTTGTGAATCCTATAAATAATTAGGTAAATTATATCACTTTTGCTTATTCTGATTTAATTCAATATTCCAAATAGGTCATGAACATACTATAGTCTTGTCGACAACTGTGTGACTTCTGAACCATTCCAAGCTCCTCAAATCATGTGGTAACAAAATGATACTTTGTTCAATTGCCGAGAATAATTCTGGTGATAAAAATATGTTAAGAATTTGTTTGATTTATGATATATTTTCATTTCCATATGATAAAGAAAGGATAATACTTGTAGTATTCTGGCTCAAGGTCCATATGTTCACAAACAAAAAGATCTTTAAGTCTCATTAAAAGAACTTGTTTATTTGATATGATAAATTCTACATATTTACTAAAATCGGATAGCATTGAAATCTTTGTTTCTAAATTACATTAAATCATTAAATCAACAGTATGCTTTAAATGAAATTTGATCCAATAAATAAGTGATTCTAACTGAGTTCAGATTCTTTGACCAAATCAAACTTTGTTCGGAATCTTTGAGCTTTATTAATATTTCTTTGATTTATGGGATTTGTATTTGTTGGTCTTTAGAATTTTTGTGATTTCGAAACATTTTAATGTTGATTGAATGAAACCTTTTCACTTCGAATACGAAAAGAAAGTAATTCGTCTAACAAATCGACTAAATAAATAGATATTACTGCTTTTGTTGAAAATGGATTTGGTTTCTACGACGAATTTTCATAATAGACATGTTAATATTAATCTTAATGTCTATATAAACAAGGTGAAGTCAATAGAAAAGAGAAAGCAAAATCATTTTAATATTTTTTTTTTTTTAAAAAAAAAAGGTATATAGAAAAAATTTATTTCTTTTCTATTAACATCTCAAATAAAGAAATATATTATACTAATGCATCCTATTCTTTCTGCTAACTTCAATACGCTTTCAGGTGAAGACATTATTATTTTAATTTTTGGTGTTTCAATGTACTGGTTATCAGTAAATTGTCGCAGAGTCTTTGCTTATCT